AAAAAAAAAAAAGCACATTATTGTGCTTTCTATATATGAAAACATTTATCTTACATTGAAGGCTTCCAGCATTTGAGGTCAGCTAGTTTAATATTATTTCCTATTAAATTGCCAAACTACTCACTGCCAGGAAATGAAAAGGATTTCATAAAACAGGGTTTTGTGGTTTGTGATACCGCCTACTCTATAACAGGAAAGTCTCCTGCAATTCTCACCTCAGGCAGCTAGAAAATCACCTTCCTAAGGGACCACTTCAAAGAGCTTACTTCCGGTTGCTTGAAATCTGGGGAGCTAGTGAAGTGGTATCTTACTTATATCTTGGCACATGGAGTGGCCAGAGGCAGTATTGTGGGTGGAGACCCTCGAGAAACAGAAGAACAATCAAACTTCTATCTCTGCATCAGCCTAAGGCACCTGAGATAAGAGAAAAAATAGAAATTTCAATGAAGTTAGCAGGGTTTTTTTTTTCTGTTTCTAATCCATTGAATAGAACACAAAATTATCATAACAGAAATTGCTTCTGAAGAAAAGGGAGGGGAGGGGCTGGGATTTAGGAGGGAAGAATTTTTCACTGTTCATCATTTCAACTCTGAATTATTTACATTGGGAATGTTTTGTTTAAGGAAATGATTCTAAAGTGGTCACTGGAATTCTGCAGTGACTCTGCTTCATCTCTGTAAGCATTCATTATAAATTATACAGGCATGCTGAAAAGTAGCAAGATCTGATCAATATACCAATAAATCAAGAAGTTGGAGAATTTTAAATTAGTGGTTTTTTTGAAACCTGAATTGTTAACTACTTTTGGATAGAAATTATATAATATAAGTATAATTATATAATAGAAACGTTTCTGGTTTATAGCTTTTGGGGGGAGATGGTTTGAAATTTCAATCATGAATGGTCAAAACAAAAATTACCCCTTTATTTATGTCTGTTACTTCACCATCATTACTACCAAGAAAGATAAATAAAAAAATTTAGAATAAATACAAAATTTTAAGGGTGTGCTTTGCAGGTTATTTAATACATTCTTATCTCTTAAGATTAATTATTATATCATGAAAGCTCATTGGGTATAATAATGATGTGAAATATCAATAAGAAAGAAAAGTCCTTCCACCCCTCCCCCCCTTAATCCCTAAAAACTATGACAGTGCATCAGTGTGAAAAGTTTGCTGTAATTTGATATGCTTTTTGTGGATTTTTTACCTACTAATAATCTTGATATCTGTAGCATGTTTCTACATTATGATATTGAAGTGAGCTATAAAAACTGGTCATAAATAGTATTTTCCATTTAATGAATTTTCCTTTGCCATTAATGTATTTTGTTTGGCTGATATATAGAAAACCACTGCCTTAGGGTTTTTCACTACTGGTGGAAGATTATATCCTGAATGTTAAAGTGCTCTTCTTTGTTAGAAGCACAAGATAAATAAAATAGAAAAATAAGTATTTGCTACCTTGCTGATGACATTCTCCATTTGTCTATACAATCTATGCCATTTTGAGTTAACTTGTTTTCTACTGGTTTAAATGTTACAGGACAGCAAATCTGTTACAGGACAGGGGGAGAGGGGCACCCCTGAAGCCCCAAACCTGCCTGCTCTAAGTGGGTTCTGCCATCCGCCGCAACAAGACAAAACATATAAAACTTTAATGAAAAGGGACTTTAATACAGCAAATATACAATACAGAACACAGACAATATAACTTCTAAATCAAACACCTGAAGTGACCCATCCCCTCGTGGGCAAAAGTCAACCCAAAAGGGATTGGCCCAAAGCAAGGCCTGAAAGCCCACCACTAGACTAAGGCGCCTTCTGGCTGGGACCCATGGAAATGGACAGACAAATCTGGGAGGAAAAGAGCAAAATCAAAATCAATATAAACACTGCCATAGTCACCTCCCTACAGGTATCTCACCCACATCTGCCTTAACCAGTCCAGGGTCAGGAAACAAGCACAGTTTCTTCCTCACATGCTCGCTGCCCCCTGTGGCTTCCTCAGGTCTCCTGGCTCTCCAACCAGCTTCCTTCTTTCTTCTCTCCTTTTTCTCTGCTCAGCTCCACCCTCCTTCTGGGTGGGGCAGGGAACCTGGAACTTCCCCTTTTCCTAGGGACCACCCTGTTACATAAACAACATTATTCCTAAGAACTGCACTGTGATTTCATGTGTTCTGTACCTCAGGAAATTTGTAACTCTGCCGGCCCTGTTATCCTGTCCTATTACCTCTATCTGTATATTTGATAAGATGTTTGATGACAAGAGATAATATTTCAGTTTTTCTCATGGTACTTATTTATTGTTTGGATAGTTAAAAAAAAAAGTGAAATTCTGATGTTTTTACTAGGTAACTGTAGATAGATTTTATATTATCCCAATTGCCTATGGTTAATATATTGTGCATGCAATCTTAGGAAGTTGACTTTTACGACTGTCTGGACTTCTACTGGAGCCATCCTTTCTGGGTTTCAAGGAGCTCATGTAAATAGTGTGGGCTTCATGTTCAGCTTCATGGTTTGTGCTGGTTCTGGCACTTATAAGCTTGAGCCTTCTGTTGACATCTCAGGAAAACAGTACCGTGTGCTCTGATATTAAGTTTGCTTATAAGGGAATTAAACAAGAGGCACAAATAAAGTATTTGATATGCAGCAACTATCAGTTTGCCTAATTTTATACACATAAACTTAATAAATCGCCACAACAAACTGGTAAAGTGGGTATTATTAATCTGTTTCATCCAAATAAAAAAAAAGTTGGCAAACCAGTTCTGGGTCTTAGAATAAGAGCTTCGAAATCGGCACAGGAAATTTAGGGAAGGAAAAGATGTATATTAAGTTACTATATGTTGGACCTGCATGTGGGAAATGACTTTCATCTTCAAATTTTCTTCCGTTTAACTCAAAATATAAATTATCTACCCTAAACGTCTGAACCCTGTCCAGCTTAGTGCCTTTTTTGGTAACAGTAGTTGATAGCATTCCCTTTATTTATCCTGAAATAACATTTACAAATAGCCTAAATGAACCCATGAGTTAAAACTATATACACATATCTGTATGATACCTTGCTCCTCAACAAGGGGAAATAAGACTAGCAATTTAATAATTACATTGGAATCTAAAATCATCAGGCACAATTACACTAGGAACCACAAAGAATATCTTTACCCATGGATTATCGGGTAGTGGCAGCTATAGATGCCAAATTGCTGAAGTTTATTTAACCCAAAGGAAAAAATATCAATAGTTTCTTCCTTAGTCCAACAATTCTATCTCATTTGTTTTTACTTTTTTAATATCGCATTTGGAGAGTGTGAGGCTATGGGAGATGATTAATAGATACAAAACACTTCAATATAGTACCCCACATGTGATGAAGACACTTAGCTTCCTTCCTGTTGTAAAGCAGTTATCAGAACACCTCCTTCTCTGTCTCTGTCTCTCACACACATCTTCCCCACCTCCCCCAGTAATACTTTGTTACAGTCTTAGTTTATGTAAGTCCAGATGAGAACTCTGCCTTCTGTAAGAAATACATGTGAAACAAACTATTCTAAAAGTTCCAGTTCTCACTACCATAAATAAATGTAGATAGAAAATATTCAATCTTCATTCCCTTCTCAAATACTCAACTTACCACCTAAGAAGTTCTTATAAGATTTACAATCTTCTGGATAGCTTTGGTTTCATCCAAACATCTACCGAACTGTTCTTATATGCAAACAGGAGTGATTGAAGTAAGGGGAAAGAGGGGTTGAAAATATTGTCCAACTCATCATAGTTTAGGATTTTAATCACTTAGGTTACTTTTCCCCAGCATTTCTAAGTAATACCAACTACCGCATAGGAGCTAATTGATTGTTTAAGGTTAAAAAATATGTCCCTGCTTTAAGAAGCACACAGGTTACCAGTAATCAACTAACGCTAAAATAACAATGGGTTTTTAACACAAAGCAAAATCTAAGCACAACGTGTCAATAATTTTTCAGTTTTGTTACTTCCTCTTTAAGGCAATGCTGAGTGAAAGTATGTTCTTCTTTTCATAAATTTTATCGCTAAAGTATACATCTGTACTAATAAACATAGTGAAATGCATGGGATTGTATTCCCAGAGATTAGAGTGGTCATCTATGAATGAAGCTTGCATCATATTAAAATAAAAGCTTGTATTATCTACATGCTAGAGCAATTATTTTCAATAGTAAATTTCAGACCCGAAAACTAAGAGTCTGTATACCATATACATAAATGAAACATGAAATTAAGCCAACGTCCACGTTTCAGTGCAGAATCTTCCTAATAGTTTCAGTAAGGTTGCCTTAGTCCTAAAAGCAACGGTAGGTTGGCAGCATCTTCTGCTTAAAGGTCTCATTCCTACCCGCCAGACCAGCGGACAGCCAATCAACGAAGGAGTTTCTCCTTTCGTCTATACCCGCCCCGGACCAGGAACAACTGAGTCGGAGGAGCGATTTGATTGGCTATAAAGTAGTGACGCAGAACTCTCTCAACGCCATTGAGAGTCCGCTTCCCTAGAGTTCGTTCATATTCCGCTTTCTGATTGGTCCTTAGCAAGAGGGCGGAGACACTAGCCGAAATTGACCTCTGGCTTTCCACTCGAGTGAAAATGGCGGCGGCCAGGTGTAGGAGGCTTGTGTTCCGTGGTCCGGGGCTGTCACTGCACACGGCGACCGAAGCCGCGGCCAAGACTCTGGAACCCACCGGACCAGATGTCGCAGTGGCCCCTTTAGCACGCTATCCGCCGATTGTGGCCTCGCTGACTGCCAAGAGCAAGGCCGCGCGACAGCGGCGAGTGGAGCGATGGCAGGCGAAGGTACACGCGGCCGAGTCGGTGAACGAGAAGCTGCAAATCCTCACCAAGATGCAGTTCATGAAGTACATAGTTTACCCGCAGACCTTCGCCCTGAATGCCGACCGCTGGTATCAGGGCTTCACCAAGACCGTGTTCCTGTCCGGTCTGCCACCACCGCCCGCCCAACCGGCGCCCGCACCTGCTCTGGACCTTGGGGCCCTCCGTGCGGTGGCTTGTGACTGCCTTCTGCAGGAGCACTTCTTCTTGCGGCGCAAGCGGCGGGCGCCCATCTACCAGGAGCGTGAGGCGATCGCCTCGCCCTTCCTGGATCAGCTGGTGGCAGCCCTCACGGGCCTGCTCAGCCCACACAACCCGACTCTGGCTACCGCCATCCTCGGTGAGCCTCGGCCCCGCGACCCCTGGCTGGAGAGATGTCGGGGCTGAAGGGTGTACTTCTCCTGATCTTTGCCCGCTTTCCATTTCACTCTGCCTTGTGAGTTTCTCGTTTGTTGGTTCCAACTTGGAGGCAGACAAGAAATGGGAGACAGGGGTCACCTACCGGCATTGCCACCTACTAACTATGCAATCCCCAGACTAGTAATCTAATGCCTGTAGGACTCCAGTCATTTAGCATTGTTGGTTAAGAAACTCGTAGAGTGGGACAGCTCTGGGGTTGTCTGCTGGTTCTTCCATCAAAGAATTACGTGATCGTGTCAATTCATTAACTTCTTTTAGTTAGCCACCTAATTTTACTCATTTTCGAGATGAGAATTGTAGTAGTCGTACTTAGTCAAAGGACCGTCAAGATTAAATGCCATCTTGACTAAAATATTTGAGGTACTTAGTATGTGTGTGACCCTGTAGCAGTTTTTTTGTGTGCCAGTTAATTTATTTCTCACAATAACTGATTACAGTAGGTACCGTTGTTTTATTAAAAACAAATAGGCACAAAAATGTAAAATGAGCCCAGTCACAGAGCCTGTAACTGGCAGATTGGAGTTCAGGATTCAAACCCAGCCATTCTGTATTTGCAATAAACAAATCAGCAACTTCTATTTAATCTTAGGTGTAGATGTGAAAAATTATTGGTGGTTGGTTGAAAAGAATCAATACTTCTGATGTGGTCATTTTATATCTACCACCTAGTAGTATCTTATTTAACTAGTAAACTGGTGATATTCCTGTTGACCTTTTTTTATTCTTAACTGAGGAACTTTTGGTTACACGGTATAGTGTAGTGATGAAACAAATAGTAAGTATTTGAGTGTGATAGTTAAGTCATTATTGAAGTTTAATTATTACATATTAATATGTAATTAGTTAAATTATTAATCTTTAATATTAAAGAGTAATTTTTTTAATTAGGCACTTTTTTTTTAAGATTTGTTTTATTTATGTATGCAGAACTGGGGTACAGGCCAGAGGTGCAGGGGGGTAAGAGAGACTGGGGAGCAGAACAGACAGGTGTACTGAAATACACTGCTGAGGGGAGCAGCAGGCAAGACAGGAGAGGTCTGCTGTGCCATGTGGTCACCTCCCTGGCTGGGGATCAAATTTGTTGCCTCAGTGGCTGTGATAGCTTCATAGTGCTATGCTTTAACCCTTTGTACCACCAGGGAAGGCCCTAATTTGACACATTTGTAAGGTATGTATTGTGAGTTAATACTTAGCAACAGTATTTTTATTAATTACTATTTAGCTTTCTAAGAATAACCAAATTTATCTAAATAATTGGATGTGAAAATTTTAATATCTTTTTATAGATAATAAACGCCCGGTTCACTTTTACTGGATGCGGGGTGAAGAAATTATTTCTTGCGGTCATCGGAAAGGTCGAGTTGATGCTTTGCGATACCAAATAAATGATAAACCACACAACCAGATTCGAATATCCAAACAGCTCCCAGAGGTAAGCTATTGGCACATATCTCTTGACATGGTAAAGGGTTTGGTAGGGTAAAACATTTTGGGATGGATCCTTTGCTCTTTGAATACATCTCATCTAAGATTCTTTTGTTTAACCTGATACATATGTTGTGCAAAGATCAAATAATCATTTTAACTTGGGTTGAGGCATCAGCTTTCAAGACCATGCAGATCTTTTCCTTTTCTTAATAAAAAGACACTTTAAATTTACTGTAGACTACATGTACTACCTAATCATAAATCAAGGCATTTTTAGTGTGATAAAATGGACATTTTGCATATTTGCAGTTCTTTGGAGAAAAACTAGTATATTTTGAGTATTGTCCTTTTGTCCATTTGAGAGATTGACACGTTTTTTTCTGTAAAGTTCTGGATAGTAAATATTTTGGGTGTTGGGGACATGAAGTCACTGTAACCACTGTTCAGCTTGATTATTATCTGTAAAATATGTAAGTGAATGCGAATGACTGTTCCAATAAAGCTTTATTTGTAAAAACATGTGCTGACTGAATTTAGCCCATCATTAAATGGTAATGTTATCAAATCATTTTGTAAAAACATCTCGTTATGTGATTATACATTTATTAAGAATAAAGAAAACATGTACTATAGTATTGCTGTGAATTCACTTCCTCTTTTTCTTTTAAGTTTGTGCCACTGGATTATTCTGTTCCTATAGAGATCCCAGTTATGAATTGTAAGCCAGACAAACTTCCTTTATTCAAACGGCAATATGAAAACAACATATTTACTGGTAAGTTTCTCTTTGGATGCTATAAATGTGTTTGAAGTATGTTGTGTGAATTTTCATAATACTTGATCCAGATCCAGAGATTCAGATAGTTCACTAACAATATAATTCATAATCTCAGTTGAAAAGCACATGAAAATTGGGGGAAAATATTCTTTCAGTTTATCCTTTTAAATCTAACTTCTTTGTACCGAATTAGCAATATTTAACTTTAAAACATAGCTACACTGGGTCTTCCCTGGTGGCGCAGTGGGTTAAAGCACAGCAATAAGAAGCTAAAGCCACTTCAGCATGAATTTGTTCCTCTCCCACCCTGGAGGTGATCCACATGGTGTGGCAGGCGTCTCCTGACAGCCCGATGCTCCCCTCAGCAGTGTACTTCCATTATCTACCTGTTCTGTTACCCGCTCTGTGTCCGGTGAATACTCTCACTGTCCCTGAACCTCTGGACTGTACCCCAGTTCTGTATAAATAAATAAATCTTTAAAAAAATATATAGCAGCCCTCCCTGGTGGCGCAGCGGGTTAAAGTGCAGCACTGAGAAGCTTAAGCCACTTCCGCATGAGTTCGATTCCCGCCTGCCCCGGAGGTGACCACATGGCGTGGCAGACCTCTCCTGACCCGCCCGCTGCTCCCCTCAGCAGTGTACTTCCTCGATCTGCCTGTTATGCTCCCCACTCTGTCTCTGGTGAAGCCTCTCGCTGCCCCTGAGCCTCTGGCCTGTACCCCAGCTCTGTATGCACAAATAAATAAAATCTTTAAAATATATATATATACATATATATATATATATATATATATATATATATAGCTACACTTATTGATATGCTTTGTTAATTTATTATATAGAAAACGTAATTTTTTTCAAAAGTAGACAAGTATAGATTTAGACTTGAGGCAGTGACTGATACTTGCTGAAGCCTCTTGTTAAGCTACACACTGCAATAACTGTCAGTAATACATTACTCTATTACTCTAATAATGTGATTGCAATAATACATTAAATTGGTATCTTATTCATGCAGGTCATTCTTTTGCTATTTTTCTTCATTTTTAAGAAAAATAGCTATTTTCTCCAGTTATAAGAAAAATAGCAAATTTAAGGAAGAATTTTGTTCTTTTTTTTATTATAGTAGTTTGTTTTTACATCATTTTGTGCCTTTTTCCATCTCACTTGTAATCCCCATGGACTTCACACCACCAATTCACCATGTGCCATCACCATAGTTCCTTGCACTCCCCCATTTTTGATCCCATTCCCCACTCTACCCCCATAAAATGTCTCTGGTATATAGTTGTTCATTATTATTTACCCCTGGTCCTTTATACTCATGCTATGAGTGAAACCATCTGGTAGTTTTCCTTTTCTTTCTGGCTTGTTTCACTAAGCATGATCCCTTCCAGCTCCATCCATGTTGTTGCAAAAGGCAAGTGTTTATCTTTCTTCATCGCTGAATAATATTCCATTGTATATATGTATCACATCTCTTTAACTTGAAGATTTTTTTTTTTTAAAGATTTATTTATTTATTCATACAGAACTGGGGTACAGGTCAGAGATGCGGAGGGTGAGAGGTTTCACCAGAGACAGTGGGGAGCAGAACATGCAGATTGACGAAGTACACTGCTGAGGGGAGCAGCGGGCGGGTCAGGAGAGGTCTGCCTCACCATGTGGATGACCTCCGGTGCAGGCGGGAATCGAACTCATGCGGAAGTGGTTTAAGCTTCTTTGTGCTGTGCTTTAGCCCGCTGCGCCACCAGGGAGGGCCCCTAACTTGAAGATTTTTAAGAAAGTTTTATAGTAGTCCTCCAGCTCTCTTTCATTATCAATACCTTATTGGTCATTGTAATTGTAGAGATTGAATTTTGGGGAACTTTTAGTTGAAACACTTGACCACTGTAGTCAAGAATGTCACTAATTATAAAATATTGGCCTTTATTTTCTTTATTTAGAAACAGTATAAAAGCCAATTCTATAATAGGAATAAGCTATGTAATTATATTACATTAAAATTTTAAGGAATTTTTTTTAATTCATGAAGTTATTTGTATTTTTTGGTGAATATAATGGAAAATAATAAAGCTGATGCTGATGACTAGAGGATTTTAAAGCAGTAAGTATGAAATTTCAATAAACTTTATATTGTATTTTTTCTTCTACATATTTTCTCGCTTAGTGAATTTGATAGCTAGCTTATTGTACTTTCAGGTGAAATGTAACTAGTATGATGAATGAAATAAGCCAGTGTTCAAAACATTTGTGTGTTTTGAACACTGATCAGCTGATGTGTAAAGAAGGAAAATGGGATTGAAGCAAATATTAGGATTCAGTGCTCAAGATAGACTATATGTACATTTCATCTGAAATTTTTTTTCCTTTGTGCTTCAGGCTCAAGGACAGCAGATCCATGCTGTTATGGTCATACCCAGTTTCATCTGTTACCTGACAAATATAAAAGGGAAAGACTTTTGAAACGGAACTGTGCTGATCAGATAGAGGTGGTTTTTAGAGCGAATGCTATTGCCAGCCTTTTTGCTTGGACTGGAGCACAAGCTATGTACCAAGGTAAGCATAATTTTATGGTATTCTTGAACAATATCTGTGCCACTTATATGGTTCAAATAGTTTTATCTAGATAAAAATGTAGGTTGAATCTGAAGCTGTTGTAAACTCTTACGGTGGTACTAAATACAATTGGTTTAAAAATCCATAACCAAGTACATTTGAAATTGGCAAATGTCATTTAAGTAGTTATATTAAATATTCCTTTATCCATCTCTGTGCATGTATATTTTTTTTTCTCATAACATTCTCAAGCATTTCAAACACTATAGCCAACAAAGTCAACTAAAGGACAGCAATTTCTGAAACTATAAAAGGAAATTACTTGGTGGACTAAATTTTAGATTGTCACAACTGTCCTATATAACCTCTTCAAAGATCATATCCGGAAAGGAGATTAATAGATTGTAATTCTAATCAGCCTTTGAAGGCTTTTTAATGTATAAGATACTGTTGTACTTAGAGACACAGTATTGAATGAGACAGGATCCTATCATGCCCTCCTGAAATTTACAATGAGGAGATTAAAGATGATAAGTGTATTATTTTTAGCTAGTGTATATACCAGAATAGAATGATTTATAGATTATGGATTTAAATGAAGCATGGGACAGGATCTATTAAAACAAAGTAATTTAGGAGAGGTCCATAGAAGATTACATTTGAACAGAGTCCTGAGTGGTAAGCTACCTCCTGTGCACAAACTTGGGGAAACACTACCATCCAAAGGAATGTCAAGTGGAAGTCTCGAAGATGAGAGCAGACTCATTGTGTTTGAAGAACATCAGAAAGGCTAAGGAAGAAAGGGAGGGAGAGAATGATGGGAAGCGATACAGAGGAAGCCAGAGGCCCCACCGCATAGAACTTCCAGAGATCATTATGCAGCATTTATAATTTATTAGAAAAGCTGCAGTAATATTTGTGGTTAGATTTGTGGTTAGATTCATCCTCTATAAATATCCAGGAGGAATTCTTATAGAGATTTAACTATTGTCAAGTTCACCTTTTCCTTTTACATGTCTATTTTTAACTTTATCTTACAATTGTTGACTTAGTAGAAATAATTTAAACAGGGTAGATATAGGAGTAGACAGAATCAGAAAAAAGTGCAAGAAAACTTTCCTCAAAGATGTTAGAGTGGCATCATTTCTTTAAGAAAATAAAAATCCTTTTTATTGACAATAATTTAAGCCCATGTTTTAGCAATATTATTCTTGACTACCCTTCATTAAGGTTCGTATAAAATATATGGAGGGAAATCTAGTTTCTTTGTACTAGCAGTTAGATTTAAAAGTATTAAAGCCAGCCAACCTGGAACAAGTAGCCATCAGAAATTTTGAGTAGTAAAGGTGCTAATTAAGGTTCCCAGTAACCTTATGATGGCATAGGACATGTTAAATAAAATGACAGCCACATATAAAATTGATTTTGAAATACGTTTTTTCATTTCTTAGGAAATCATTTTCCTAGAGGCTTTTTTTTTTGTGTGTGTGTGTGTGTGGATTTGATAATGTAAATGGCCAAAATGGTTATTGGGTGGAAAGTACGCTGGTATAGGGAAAATTTTAATATATTAGAAGCCAATGAGTAATTATGTAGTAAGTGCCAGAGGGAGAAGTGATTTTCATAAGTAGAGCTTGCTGTTCTTTTTGGATGAAGGGGGATAAGGCTGAAAGCTGAGGAAGGTCAAAGTTGTTGACAAAAGACCCTTCATGATTTGAGGGATATTACAAGAGAGGAAATGATTTGTTGCAGAAATGGGATATAAGAATGGAAGGGAGGGAATAGAAGGAGGGCCCTCCCTGGTGGTGCAATAGGTTAGGACGCAGCCCTGAAAGCTGGCCACAGCTCCTTCAGTGCCAGTTCAATCCCTGGCTGGAGAGGTGACCCATATAGCTCCACAGACCTCTCCTGTGTGGCCCCTCAGCAAGGTACTTTGTCAGTCGACCTGCTCTGCTCTCCACTGTCTCTGATGAATCCTCTTACCACTCCTGTACCTCTGGCCTATATCCCAGTTCTGTATGCAAAAAAAAAAAAAAAAGAACAGAAGGGAAAACCTGGGCGTGTAAAATATCTAGGTTTCAGGAAGTGTTTGGTACACTTTAATGTGTTTATTTTGTTAAATATAACAGAATCTGTAAATTTGTTTTTATTTCCTTTTTTTGAAGATTTATTTACTTATACATTCAAGAACTGGGGTGTAGGCCAAAGGTGCAAGGAGAGTGAGAGTGAACTCAGAATCACCAGAGACAGAGTGGGGGGCAGAGAGGGGAGCAGTAGGCGAGACAGGAGAGGTCTGCTGTGCCATGTGGGTCAGCTCCCTGGCCAGGGATCGAATTCATGCCAGTGTGGTTGGTGAGAGCTTCATAGTGTTGAGACTTTAACCCCTGTGCCACTAGAGTGTGTAAACTTCAGTACAACTTTCTTCTACAGGTTTCTGGAGCCAAGCAGATGTTACTCGTCCATTTGTCTCCCAGGGTGTGATCACAGATGGAAAATACTTTTCCTTTTTCTGCTACCAGTTAAATACCTTGGCACTCACTACCCAAGCTGATCAAAATAACCCTCGGAAAAATATATGTTGGGGGACACAGAGTAAGCCTCTTTATGACACGATTGAAGATAATGTTGTGAAAGGTTTTAACGATGATGTTCTACTTCAGATAGTTCACTTTCTTCTGAATAGACCAAAAGAAGACAAACCACAGCTGTTGGAAAATTAAGGAAAAGCATTTCATTCAGGACTTTGTGATCACTTAATTTCACTGAAGAGAAAGTAAATGGAATTTTGATAATGAGGCTTATACTGTCAAAGAATGTTTGGATATTTTTAGGTGAAGATTTCTCATGTTAACCTGTGATTTGGACTTCATTTTGTTCAGAATAAACAATTTATAAAATTGAGGTTTGATTATAGATATATTGATTTAAACATTTTATTCACATATGACCGATGATACTAATTGAGCTGTCTTCAATATTTGGCATTAATTGCATGTGATTTTGAAAGTAACATGGCAAATAATTCAAATGCTTAAGAATATGTAGAAGTTTTTTTTTTTAATTAATAATGTGGTATAAATTTTCATAACTGCTCAAACCCCTTTAAAGCATTAGTAGTATTTTACACATGTAGGAACCAGTCCAGAAGAATTATTACTTTTCCACATTTTCATGGATGAGTAAAATGTAACAGATGCAACTTAGGCTCAGGAAATATTAACATGTTTTAGGTAGTACTGTTTGCTTTACCCCAAGGATTAGAAAACTAAGTTTGCTGTGTTTCACATCGTCAGTTGGCCAATAATCTTGTTGAAAATTAAGACTCATTCAAAAGCACCTTTAAGGAGAAAAAAAATTATCTTTGTATAATTATGCTTTACTTCTTATTTTACATTACCTCCTGTTGTGAATTTTAAATATTCCTTAATGTACAGTAATTATATGATGAATAATTCTTCTTCTTTCCTCCCTCACTTGCTCCTTCCTTCCCTTTTTTACTAGAAGCCTACAGGGTATTTGCCAAAAATGATTGTAAAACTGAAGAAATATCATTTGAAAAATGTACTGCTGCTTAGTAAGTGCTTGCTTTTGCAAGGCATTGTTCTATTCTATAATATTCTACTGCTGTGCTTCTCCCAGAATGCCATACAGTCTCATTTCACCATTCTTTTTTGCATTTATTTATTTATTTTAAATAATATAATAGTTTATTTTTACATCATTTTGTGCGTTTTTCCATCTCAGTTGTAATCCCCATGGGCTTCCCCTCACCAAATCACCCGTGTGCCATCACCATAGTCCAGTGCGTCTCCCTCCCCCCCCCACTGTTTTTGATCCCATTCCTCACTCCATCCCCATAAAATGTCTCTTTCACTTCACCATTCTTTTTTTTTAACCTGTTTACAAAGCTTGGGGTACAGTTTTCTATCCTTGGTCTTGTCTTTTCTGACCTGTCTGTTGTACTCTCATTCATTCTTCAAACTCCAGGTAAATTATCACTAATCTTGGCTCTCACTTTCTAATTTAAGAGAACAATTTGAGTTATCATTCTTGATTTCTGCTTCCTTAAAACATAATTATCTCAGAAGATTGTAAGATTTATTTAGTCTATGTGAAAAGTGCTTTCAAATTACTATGTAATTAGAATGTAGGCTCAGTTGAAATACCATTTCTTTTTCTCAGCTGATTATATTTAATTACCCACCCTTTAAATATGTATACCTCTATGATAACACCTGTTTCATTCTCTTGTAACAACTTTCTAATTATAAATGGAGAACATATATACATACTACACATACATACCTGTGTCTATATGTCAAAACTTAATATAACACTATATTCTAGAGCTTGGTCTAAATATATACACTAGTTAATTTAATTTTAATGATTCTGTGAACAAGGTACTATTCCCTGCTTTGTTACCAAACAATCACACAATTAAAGGGTCAGTAGGGTTGGTATTTGAGCTCAGGTGGTTTGACTCCATATTCTCCAAAAAACTTACTATAAGTGCCAATGGTACTATGATAGAACAGTGGCATAAATTTATCTGAAGGATAATTCTGAGCCCTGTGAATTCTAGAAATAAATATTGGAGCAAGTCACTTTTGAGCTGGTTATTGATTGAAGACATTTTCCAAAAGTAGAAGGAAAGTCGGGACTAGAACTGTATGGAGAAAAGCTGCAAATTTTACTGGGGGCAGTTACTTGATTTATTTAGATTGCATGTCATTTTTGCAGTTGAAGAAAACATTATTTACCAAGAACCAAAAATCTTGCCAGTTAGGAGCACCTCACTAATTTTTATTAGCAGTTTTGCCCTTGAGGCATTTATTTTGTGACCCCCACCATCAGATTGTTATTGTTATTACTGGCAAAATTCAATGTTTATAATTAATTTTTAGGCTTTTAAAAGAAAATTAGAAAATGTCAGTTTTCTTGCCAAAGGGGGGGGGGGGAAATACCAGTAAAGATAGGTTAGGAGGAATTTAATTTCATTTGAGATAATCTTGTTTTTAATTTAAAAATTAAATTTTTAATTTAATTTTAATTTAATTATCTGACAAAATCCGGGAACCTCTATTTCTGCTCTACCAAATAAAACTTGATTTGACAGTTTACTTGTGAGATTGGAAGAATTTTTTTTTTTTTTTCATTTTAATAGGCCCAAAATTGACAATCAGAATATTTGGGCACTATATTAAGTAGTTTCCCTTCTAGACTACATTGGGTTTTATACAGCACTGCACCATCCAGTAAAAGAAGAATGCTGGAGTGCTCCCACATAGGTAAGCCCTCATCAGACTAGAGAAGCTGTGCAAATGGAGTTTCAGATAGAACTGCTAGAATGTTGTGAGGTCACTCTTCAAAAACACTCAAGGGCTTCAACTTCTGCTTCCAAATAGGTGGATTGTGTAATCCAATCTTCCTGCTCCAACATCTGGTTAAATCTAACAAATATGACTTGAAGGCATTCTAGAGCTAACAAGATGCAAGGTTGTGAGAAATTGCCAGGGTGATAATCGGGAAGAAGTGGAAATGTAGAAGTTGATCTTCTATTGTCCTTCTCTAGGGGAATTTTGTTAATAAATAAGAGGTTGAGAGGATAATTTATGTTTAATGATCTTCTAAAACCAGAAAGACAAAAGTTAGAGTACAGCATCTCCACGTTGGAACTGTGATTTGAGACTGAGGGCCACATCTCTAAGTAAGGATAAACAAGAAATACAACATTCACGTGCCATTGACATATGCAGTCATCTAGATAGCTCTGAAAAATCTTAAATTTATAAAATGGATTAAGGTGACCTGAGAGTTCCATCTAGGTATCTGAAAGATGCAAATCTGAAGAAAGAGCACGTTTTCTTAGGCTTGTGATTATTTCTACAACCACTTTTATGAAAGAAATATCTGCATAGACTGAGTCAAGGAGGAAAAAGACAAGAGAAATGAAAACAAGCAGAAACAATCCCTAATAAAACCAGACCAGACGGTACCAGAATTTGCATTGTGAAATTAGCTTTATTTACTATGTTCAAGGAAATATCTCAAAACACTGAATTTTTCAATATAGAATCCCAAGCTTAAAAAAAATGTAAATTTCTTAAGAGCCAAATTTGAGAACTAGAAAAACCAAACAGTAAATTAAATTAATAACTCAAAATCTGAGTTAATCTTGTGTAACAACTGCAACTGTATCTTCTTAAAACAACACTTACTATCTCACCATCTCTGCGGATCAAGAGTCCAGGTGTGCCTTAGCTGGATCCACTGTTTCAGAATCTCCCACAGGGCTGCAATGAGCAGTATTGAACCAGGGCTAGGGTCTCACTGATGGCTCATGTGGGAGTTTGCATGTTGCTTGCAGGCTGTGAACTGAGGGTCCCAGTATGGTAAGTAAATTTGGAGGAGGCATTCCTCAGCTTTTTGGCACATGGGCCTCTGCCTTAAAGAGGCATCTTCTCACAGGGCAGTTTTCCAGAAGGAGCTTGTAGAGTCTGCTAACAAGACAATTGAGAAGCCCAGTCATTTTGTCTGGTCCAAAACCAAGAGGATTATACAAAAGCATGACCACAGAATGATAGGGTCCATTGAGGAGCAGCTGTAGAGTCTGCCCGTCCAGCAAAAAGTGACAAACACAACTGAACAGAGAATTAGTGAAGAGTCAGAATAAAACATCCATGATTAATCTTGTCTTCATGTACTCTGTTACTCTGCCGTCATCACTGAGGAAGAGCTGATATTTATTTATGCCCAAAACAAAGTAAATTGTATGGAGAGAGGCTAAATAAGAATACATGTTGGGCCCTTCCTGGTGGCGAAATGGGTTAGGACGCAGCACTGCAAGCTGGCCCCAACCAGCAACCACTTTAGTGGGAGTTCGATCCCCGGCCCTGGAGATGACCACATGGCGCTGCAGACCTCTCCTGACCCGCCCTCTGCTCCCCTCAGCAGTATACTTTGTTGATCTGCTCCCCACTCTGTCCCTGGTAAAGCCTCTCACCACCCCTGCACCTCTGGCTTGTACCCCAGTTCTGTATGAATGAATAAATAAATTAAAAAAAAATACATGCTAATTGAATGTAGGAGCTTGGGAATAGATTGAAAGGGTAAGCAGTGAAGACTGAACTAGATCCTTTAGGAATCCCATTTTTTTCGTGTCCTAGATCCACTGGATGCCCAAACTGTAGTATTCTTTGTGATGAGCTTTACATAATTTGCTGCTTAGTTTCTAATTTCAATGTTGACGAGGGATATGCCAGGGATAATAAATGGAAATGCGTGTCTATAAATTTTTAGTTATAGCACATGAAATTTTATCTGGCCTATTTTTTTGCATAAGATTTTCAAGGTGCACACGTTTTTATTTGAGAAGTATACAGTTTTCTTAAATGGTCATTTTTAATTGCTCATTTCCATGTAGTTGTGTAAAATTTGTAAACATACTTTGAATTAAAATACTTATCAGCAATTCAGTGGTCTAAATGTTCAAGAACCATGGCAAAATCCAGGTTAAGGACAGATATAGTTTCTCTCACAGGTATTCTATCTTTAATTTATTTAATTATAATGTGAAATATCTGTAAGATTGATGATATTTCTTCGAATAAACCATTACTGTGTCTGAAAAAAAAATAACTTATCTAGCACAAACAGCAATTTACAAAGCCAAGGGACCTATAACTTTTGATAAGCAATGATCTCTATAAACTAAGTCATTTAAGTATTTCTTTTTTAAAAAAAAAATGCATTGCTTTAAATATGTTTATATCAGTTGCATTAGTTTGAAAGTGGTCTCCAGCTGGAATTAAGCTAAATAAGATCCAGGAACTTTCTTCATAATTTGAAAAGAAGCACAGGAAGTTAGGAAGCAAAGGAAAACATATGGTAAGTAAATG